AAGGCATATGAAGAATTTTTTATACGAGATATTACATCAGGATACCTAATATGATATATAATCTATTTAATAGTACAAACAATAAACATGAAAGGAATCAAAGTGTTCTTACCATAGATATTGAGGATAAGAAGCATTTGTTTGTCGAGAGAGAGATAGACCACCAGTTTCATGATCGCTAACCTGTCAAATGCAACATTTATAATATTAATTAATTGTAACGAAACATAAATAATGATTTATAGATAATATGCTACTTGAAATGTATCAGTAGATTACTTGTAATGTCATGTATGACACATTATTCAAGGAAAGAAAACTTACTGATATGAGAACTGTTCCTGGATGATCATCTACATATTTGGTAACAAATTCAATTACTTGATGGTAAGCCAAGATGTCATGAACGTGTGCACCTGGATCGTTCCTATAAAAAATTTTATAGAAAATTTTAGTCGAATGTTCCCCGATTTTCATTACTCCATGATTACTTACGAGTGACCAGCCATATCTTTATGAAGCATTCAACGTATATATACCAATAAAGATATAAAAGATCAATATTTAATGTAAGTTTTAAAATACAAAAACTGTTTACGAATAGTTACCAATTCGACTGCCCTCGATCATAAGGAAGAAACCTTTATCGCTATGAGCGGTTTGTGCTTCAAGAATTCGAATTGCTTTCTCAGACATTTCTTTGAGAGAGGGTTCAACACTGGGAGTACGATCTATCTCATAGGACATATGCTGGAAATAAAATGTAGCTAAATATTAATAGATATTTCAATTAAGAGGGATATAATCCAATAAGAAATGCTTACGTCAAGGGTAAATAAGCCAAGAAGGGGAATACTAGAATGTAATACATATATGACAATTAGAATACATAAAGGAACTAATAGAACTAAGAATGTATTATGGGAATGTTTATAAACCTTTGCGAATCAGGATCAATATTATCAAATTCTTTTCTAGAAGAAAAACAAGTAAAACCAGACTTCTTTGCTTCTGCAATTAAATCCCGATCATCTCCCCTGCAGCTACCAATAGTATAATTTGGCAAGAAAAAGCATCGACCACCACCCATCATCAGATCAACTTGTCTTCCAAGAGGATAATCGCCAAGTTGTTGAGTAGCAATAATATCCTCCATGTTTCTATCAACAACATGAGCCGAGAATGAAGCCGGTGTAGCATGAGTGATACGACTAGTAACAACTAATCCTGTTGCCATTCCAATAGCCTTCGCAGCCTCAAGAATAGTACCACATGGAGCCTCATCAGGATCAACTGATATAAGGAATTTAAAAGTTCATTAGGATCATTAATAAATGTGGTTGCTGAAGCTGAAGTCTGGTTTTACTTGTTTTTCTTCTAGAAA